GTCTACCAACAAAGTGTCGATGTGTCTGTCTTCAGAGGCAGCTTCATAGCTTCTGTCTCCACCTCCTTTCTCCCAGCATTCAGTTTAGTTTTTCTTGCCTAGCTCTGCTCTACCCTATCACAGGCCCAAAACAGCTTCTTTATTAACCAGTAGTATTCACAACATACAGAGGGGGATCCCCCATCAGAGTATGTTGTGATAAACAATGATAGACAGGTATAAAAATTGCCAGTGGGCTAGGAAATGGAGCAGTTAATCTCCGGGGCATTTAGAAATGGTACATTAACTAGGCTTTAAGGCTGGGTATGAAAGTGGCTTCACCAAAGAAATACCATTTGCAAATACAGTTTGCTCACAGAATTAAGTCAAGAGACTGTAGAGGGTTGAGCTGAAGTGTAGGCTGTGCTCTGCACTTATAGAGACATTTTCTCTGTCCTAAGGGGTTTGGCTGCTTGGGAGCACATCATGGAATTTCAGGAATAATGAGTGATAGGGGTGGAGCTAAGAACACAAGGCCAAGGCAGGAAGGCCAGTTGGGGTGGTTTTGGTGGTGGTTGTCCTTGGTTTTAGACGAGGTCTTGAGCCCCTATGTAGCACAGGATGAACAATTATTGGTGCCCTTGCCTCCACTTCCCAAGTGCTGGAATTACAGGTTGCACTATGATACTAGACATATGTGTGTGACACAGGGTGGACAATGTAGGACATTTGTGCCTTAGACTTCAGAGGTGGTTTACTTTGCCCAGGTTAAGAACTAGAAAATGGGAATAGAGGATATTGTTTGCTTAACTTACTTTCTCTTTAGTCCACCAGTCCCAGCCATGCCGTAGTAGCCAACGTTCAGCATGTCTTGCATCTGATGAAGCACCACAGTAAAGCTTTGTGCAATGATCGAGTTGTTAACAGTGTTCCCTTGGCAAAGCAAGCTTGTTCACGAGGTAGCAAGAGTAAGAAGCCAGTGACACCTCCTTCCAGCAGTGTCAGTGAAGAGCTGTCAGATGTCTTACAGACGCTACAGGATGAATTTGGGCAAATGAGCTTGTGAGTTTTAAGGTTTTTAATTTAAAATTACATTTGGCTCTGAAATCCTATTTTTTAGTTGCTTGAATTTATTAATCCTAATTTTGTTTAACGTGTTGAGCATATTCCTTAAACTAGCTCAGAGGCTAGAAGTGAAATAAATGTAACTGACAAGGCTACAACCTCCTTTCTAATTTTGTTATACGGTTAATGCTATGTGACTGTTAATAGTTCTTAGGGTTAGCTAAATGTAACTGAGTTAGGACAGTTTAGAAACCAGTGTCCTATGGAATGTAAATGGAGGGAGAAGAAAGCAAATAAATGTATTAGTCTACAACCCTGGATGAACACAAACTTGAATACTTGTGTATAGTTTCATTTTGTATTATTTATTTTTATTTATGTGTATAGCACATGGGCTAGTGCCCAAGGAGGCCAGAATATAGGACACCAAAGCCCCTGGAACTGAGGTCACAGGTGGTTGTGAACCACTCATGTATCACTGTGGTGCTGGAACTGAACTCAGGTTCCCTGGAAGAAGCAGCTCTTTGTTAAAAAGCAAAGTGGGTCATTTTTTTTAAATTGTTTTAAGACTGTTGTATCCCATACCGAGATTTAAAGGTATAATTGTTGAAGATGAGAAACTTAAGGAAGCTGCACTGTGTTGTGTGTGCAGTGATCACCAGCAGCTTGCTAAACTCATCCAGGAGTCAACGACTGTGGAACTGAAAGACAACTTGGAGTGTGAATTGGAGGCATTAGTGGGAAGAATGGAAGCAAAGGCTAACCAGATAACTAAAGTTCGAAAATACCAAGCCCAGGTAACTCCTTCCCCTCACTTGTTGGTCATGATTAACTTTCTCCCTTGGTCTCTATTAATTGATGATGCTAAGGTATGTTTACTTGTCCCTCAATCAGTTTGTGTTACAGGGTTTAAGAAAGAAGTGTTAATTCTCACTTAGGTTTCATATAAGTCTTTACTGAATATATTTAGTATCTTTAGCCTTATGAATAAATTTTAACTTATGGTTTAAATGGTTGAGTTTGACCAAATTAAATTGTCTACAACAAACCTAGAGTTTTTCAGTTTTCAACATAGAAAGTCTGATTAAATATGTGAAAAAGTAGTATGTTTGCTCATACCAAAACCTACTTTAGCTTTGCCCACTTATTCCTAAACTTCAGTTACTGTCAGTCCAGGAACTGGACTCCACCTTTGTTCTGGCTCTGCTCCACAGTAATCTCAAAACCACAGTTTATTTCTCTAGATGAAAGCCCTGATGAGGTTTATTTAATGTGAGTACACCTCCTACCTTTACTTAGTGTTTTTACATACTTAAGTACTAGAATACTAAATAATTGATGATTTCTGCTGGTTATATGCTTAAAAAGAAAAACAACCTTGCCTAGAATGTATCATTTTGAATGTTAGAGGAAGACTATTTAAGGTATTGGTGCACTCAGGAGGCAGAGCCAGAAGGATCAAGAATTTTAGACTGTATATAGCAAGACTGTGTGTCAAAAACAGAATACTTATGCTAAAAGAAAATGTTTTTATTGAATTCGATTTTTTTCCCTGCCTTGATTATTTGGATAGCTGGAGAAACAAAACATAGATAAGCAGAAGAAGGAATTAAAAGCTAACAAAAAGACTGTTGAGGAAGAAGGAAACAGCAGCAGTCGCTCATCTGGAGGCACAAGGACCACAAGTAAGAAGGATTTTGCCAAACAGAGACCTGGAGAAAAAAGCAGGAAAAATCTTCAGTTACTGAAAGACATGCAAACCATACAGAATTCACTGCAGAGCAGTAATCTGTGTTGGGATTACTGACACCAGATCATAAATGATGTACCTTACTGGATATTTCCAGGTTTCATGCTTGCTAATGTTGCCATTACTAGCAGGTATTAAGGGGCCCAAGCTTCATTATAATCTCTTGTGTTCTGCAGCACAACTAAATGGAAATGGAGTTTTAGAACCCGAGAAGCTGCGCTGTTTCTATACCCTATATACTGCACTTTGTAAACAAATGACCAGTTTTTTACCCGTGGGTGTGTTTTTTAAGTAGGAATATAAGTAAATTGGGTTTGAAAATTTAGAATATGAGGCTTTCCCCATAGTCAGTGCTTGAAAAGTCTCGTTTTTAAAATCTTCCCATGGCATGAAATGACCACTACTTTTCCCTTCTCCAGATACCATTAAATGTACTGTTTCAACTACTGATAGAGGTTTTCTGTATTTAAATATTTATTTATTTAAGAGGACTTTGTTTTGTTCTACTTTTTGGTATTTCAGATGTTGATTCTTAAAGACCAAAACATTTTAAGTAAGTTGCTCATGAAATATATAACCTCTTCATGAAACTAGAAACAGTTGTTAATGAAATAAATGAAATATTGGAGTAAAGAACTAAGAGGGAATGTGGTGAAATGTACACGGCTACAGTTTTTAGTCCATACCTATTTGTAATCATGTTATTCAGTTAAGTACTGGCTTTTAATCTTGACTCTTAGAGAATCCCATTGCTTTTAGCATATGCAATATGGGTAGTGTGTGAACTGAACACACACAACTATCATTATGTTAATGTAAATTATACTTTTGAATAGATTGACATGTTAAACTTTATAAATTTGGTACTGAAATCAATAAAGCAATTTTTACACTTCACTTAGTAGCCAGCTAACAAAGGTGTCATTTGTTGTACATCTCAAGAGTGCATATTAGTATCCTGATTGAGAAACAGTATTTGGTTCATGCTTGTCATTCTCCTGCTTTCACCTAAGCCCAGTATGACTGACTGATTTATTAGACAGGCTGGTGAACACACTAGCTATATACTAAAGGAACTGAAGTGGAGGTTATGGATTACAGCTTAAAAGCATAGACTATTCATGCTACAGTTTTCTAGTTAAAATTCTCAGAGTCATTACATAGATTGAGATTTATAAATCTGAAATTGTGTATAAACTTTACTTGTGTGTACAATTTTCTGACAAGCAGGTTTGCAGCAACAATGAATGACAACAGTGAGTCCATAGACCCCATGAAGGTGAGAAACTACTCTGATGACATGGTAAATATTACATCTCAACCACCACTTCAACTGCTCCACTTATGTTAATTCATGTTTGAATATCAGGACATTAAACTGTATAATTGTCATTTGAGTGGTAATGGCTCCAACTCCTGATTAAATCTTACCTATCTCCAGCTGGATTCAAACTCTGGGCTTTGGGTTTGAGCCTGCTTCAGTTTCTGGCTTGCTCACTCACAGCAGAGCTCCTTTGTACTCTGTATAAGGTGCCAACAAAGGAGTGCCAGGAATGCAGCTGGATTCCACATAAAGTGCTTTTAGCGTGCAGATGCCACGATGAAAATTTCTTGGAGATCATAGAAGACACCAGAAAGTTTTGAAGGGAAACACAACAGAGTTTCACTTATATTCCTCTGGCTTTTGAGTGACTATATGACCACTTTTAATGTCTGGATCTCAGCAGCTTCCCTTTGCACCATACCAAGATGATAAAAGTTTCCATGAGGGAAACAGTCTGGAAAGTGTGAACTACTGTAGAGACCTTTTCTGAATACTGGTTAGTAACATAAATAACCCCTAAAAATTTCCATATCAAACCAAATAATTTAGTACCAATTTTGTTAATACTGGATATGCTGGGGATATAGCTCAGTCATATAGCACTTGCCTAGCAAGTATGAGATTCTGGGTTCACTGTCCAGACAAGCAGAAATAAAAGGGATGGGGAGGTGTGTGTGTGTGTGTGTGTGTGTGTGTGTGTGTGTGTGTGTGTGTGTGTGTGTGTTCGTGTGTTCGTTCTAACATCAACAACAGGACAACAGTTCAGGCAATGAATTAGTGACTGAGAAAAGGGTTGTTGAGGTGTCAAGGACAGATGGGCTCAAATTGAACTTTCTAGGTAGTTGGATTGGGGGAGAGACTTTAGACAACTGTGGACAGGGACAAAGTTTGAAAGCATTTAATTAAAAGACGCAATGGTAATAAGCTCCTTTGTTACAGTACATTACATATGGCTCTTATACAGAGTAAAATAGACACCAGGAGGTCAGTTGTTCACACCAGCACCCAACTCCGGTGAGTAGAGAAACAAGGCTTTACTTGCTGGTACTGAGATTGTAAGTCTTTACATGCAGTGTGTTCTTTGGTAAAGTGTTCATGTGAAATTTAAACATAGCACTAAAGTCAGACTTTTAAGGTTTTAAAATACTGTCTTAAAACTTGCCAATTAGCATTAAGATAAAGTGGTGTAATGGTTTCTAAAATGTCTTGATGTTAGCGATAAGCATACAAATGGAATGCTCTTTGAATTCCTGGATAACAGCTACTGCTTTGTCCCTTCACCTCCCCTCCCCCAAGCACACATATAAGGCATCATCCTTTAGTAACTGCTGTTTATAACTACTGATACGCCATAATAATTTCTATATTAAATACCACAAAAATTAGGAAATTTGAAAAGGGTGATTTTGATCTGACATGTCCAACAAGGCCCAGCACATATGCTCTTGGGTATAAGAACAGGTGCTCAGTTTTTTAAGACATTAAAAACTTGTTCCCATGGTGGATACAGGATTCCAGTACTTTAGTATTCTTTGGGTGACTTAAGATTAGTGTCATACTTTAATTACAAATGAAATGATTTCCATTGTCACCTGCACCGGACGTTTCTAAACTCATCTAAGAGAGACTTGAAATAAATACAGCATTTGAAGGTTTCTCCCATAGATGGGTTTAAAACACAGAAGGCTTTCTACCCTAAGCCTGCTAAGGTGCTGTAATGTTGAATTCCTGGCAACGATGCCCCTGGCCTAATAGTCCTTTCATACAACAGTTTGGACAGGAGTCACACACTGTGCAGGAGAGCTGGCTCTCTCTGAAGAGGAGGTTGAGCGATTGGAAATTTCTCTCTGAAGTTCTTCTACTTTTCTCTGAAGCTCTGCTCTTTTGGCAAGAAGTTCTTTGTATCTGTTGTGGATAGGTTCCTGCAAGAGCAAACAAAATCACTGCAATAGGAATCCCGGCCAACCTGAAGATCTTAACCACTCTCTGTGCTTTGTGACACTGGCTGTCTCATCAGTTGGATAGCCCTAAACTTCAATTCCTCAGTGGACTTAAATTCAGGTTTTATTGACACCACTGATCTTTCAATGTCTGTTATGTGTTTCTGGATGATACTACTTTGCACCATTTAGTTAAAATTCTTCAGGATTATTGACCTATAGTTTTTAGGCCTTTATAAAGTTATTTTCTTGAAGATGTGTGCACTTGATATAGTCTCCTGACTGTCAGGTGCAGTGTCTGCAACTTTGTGGATTATACTCAACTAATAAATAGAGTGGGGGTTGTGAGTGGGACAGACCTAGTAGAGTCATACTGCGTATTGTAAGTCTGTACCTGTGGTTTCATCCGGGGGTTCCACCTTATGTAATAGCCTACCCAGAGTTCTAGGTGGCGCATGCTGGCCACTGGGTAAAGGACATGGTTGGAGTAGCTCCCATAAAGAGGATTAGTGAAATCTTCCAGCTGGCTGTTTATGTAGGACCACAATGACACTGTCCTCTTAGGAAGATTCTGCAGGAGGGAGAAATAGGTAAGCGTTAGTTGAGATTTGTGTAGTGTTGCATGGTCATTGAAATCAACAATGGAGGAAAAGGACTGACACTGCGGGAACAGACCTACTTCAATGAAAATAAAGTTAAACAGTTTACGGGAGGCACCCTGCAATTCTAGTCTTTGTGCCTCAGTGCTGGAGATAAGATCAAAATTCATCCACATTGGGTAGTTCATAACATCAGTTTCAGGGCATCCAATACCCTCTCTGGTATCCCACCACACAAACACACATTTCCATACACACACACACACACACACACACACACACAGCTCCATATGTTTAAAGTGGTACTGCTCACAACAACCAAATTAAGAACAACCCAAAGGATCATCAACTGATGGATACACATAATGGAAGATTATCTGACCATGAAGAGAAAGTGGGTGCTGGTAAAAATGTTGAAAAGATATTAATGCAAGGAGCCAGATATGGAGGTCACATGGGGATGATTCCATTTAAATGAAATGTTCACAAGAAGCCCATCTATAGAGAAACCAGGCTAGTATCTGCCCAAACCTGAGAGAATGTGGACAAACAGGTATGGGGTGACTTTGTTGTGAGGAAAATGCTCTAAATTAAATGGTGATGGTCCAAATTCTGTGGTTATACATTAAATTATCACTTTAAAAGAGGGTTTGTGGTATTTAAGTTGTATGATTAAGACTTAAGGGTAGTGTCTCAAAAGATTGACAGTAGTATCCGACAGTATTCAGAATAAAAGTTGATGTCCATGGAAGGTGCTACCAATACCACCAACAGTGACCCCTCTATAGAGTGGTTCTTTTGCTTGTTTTTGTTGTAGCAAGATTGAACCCGGCACTTCACAGACCTAGGGAAGCAATCCATCACGGAAGTGTACATCTCCAGCATTCTCTACATCTTCAGACTTATTTTGAGATGGGGTCTTTTTAAAAGGCTGGCCTCAGATCTGTGATCTTTCTCCCTTACCCTCTGGAGTTTTCTGGGATTATAGGTGTGAATCCCTCATCCCCACTTCATGGGTAGAAATAATCTTAGTACATCTTGTGAGGTACAGTAAAACCAAATACATACCAGAGTGAGAGCCAGAGCTCATACATTACCTCTTTCCCCCTCTGCTGTTCACTGTTACAGAGGAAGGTCCCAAATAAACAGCTGTACAAGTGGTCCAGGATAGTAATAAGGAAATATTCGTTGAATTCAAACGCAGTAGGGAACTGCAAATTGAGCACCACAAACATGAGACATTTTTCAAGTATCATTATCCCTGTCATGAGTAGATTCTTTGAAGCAGTTTTTAAACAGATCTGAAACTACCTAAGCCATAATGGCATTATCTGTTTTCCTCTGAGTCACTATAATGCAGCAGTATTGAGTGGACCTATAAAGTGCTCTGCCTTGACCCTATAGTTGTGAGCCACTGATCTATGACTTGGAGTAATTCTGACAAGTCTGGTCTTCCAGCTTACTTTTTTACATGTCTTTTTTTATTTTTCCTTTTTTTTTTTTTTAATCTCCCCCTTCTCCCTGCCGAAAGAGTTTCTCTGTAGCTTTGGAGCTTGTCCTGGAAGAGCTCTTGTAGACCAGGCTGGCCTCAAACTCCAAAGATCTGCCTACCTTTGCCTCCCAAGTACTGGGATTAAAGGTGTGCGCCATTACCATCCAGCTAACATGTCTTATTTTCTAAGAATTAAAAATATCAAATGTGGGGCTGGAGAGATGGCTCAGAAATTAAGGACACTGGATGCTCTTCCAGAAGTCCTGAGTTCCAATTCCCAGCAATCACATAGCAGTTCACAACCATCTATAATGAGATCTGGTACCGCCTTTGGCGTGCAGGCATACATGGAGGCAGAACACATATAAATAATATCAAATGTACCCAGCAAATGTGATCAGTATATACACAGAATAGGTATCTGTACAGCTATGCAGATAACTTACAAGACAAACAAGTCCTTGTGATTCACATCAGTCCAACACAGAATTCACCCTTACCCAAGCATCAGTGAGTGTCTTAATTTTATACAACCCAATTTTGGAGAACCATCAAAGGAAGAATTAAATTACCACCGAAAGAAAATTTAATCCATTCTATCAGTATTGCAAAATCATTCAGAAACTTACTTGTAAGTCTGTATTAGAGTTTGTGAAAGATTCCACAACAACCTGGAAAATACTGCCTTGGTATTTTAGAAAAAGTCCCTATCAACCTAACTCAACTCTATGGAGACATGTAGTTTACTGCTAACAGTTCTTTAGATCGATAATATACTGATAAGATGCTTTCAACTTTTGTTTTTTCCCCCTTTTGATTTAAATTATATCACATTTCTAAAAAGTCTTTCCATCCTATCTGAACAGCACCCTAATTGGTCCCAGCTCCTAGGTTATACCTTGCTAGGGTTTAGTGGATCTACCAATCTGACAGCTGGGTCATATTCTTGCCTTACTTGTTTTACTGGCATGTCTCCACTGACAAGAACTATGCCTTATGGCTTAACCCTACTCCTAAAACCATTTTCAAGACCCTGAGGCTCTGCTTCCTATTGCTAACCAAGTGCTATCTTCTAGTACCTTTCTAGACCAAAACAGTTTACACAACTGTTTCAAATAAGCATGTTGCCTAAAAGACTTACAGGGTTCTGACAGCTCCATGATTGAGATGGGGCTAAGTGATCCCTGCCTTATGCTTTCTGTCCCAACACTTCTTTTAAAACAGTTAAAATGACTCAAAATAGTGTTTGGTTTTGGCTGGAATTAATGTAGCCTGTTTCTTCAACTTCCTTAGCAAAGAATATAGAGCTTTCAGTGAGCAAAAGATCATATGAGGAATCTTCATTTTTATCAGTCCCCTGGTTGAGATGCTACTAGTATCCAACTAACTGTTCATTAGTATTTCTCTTAAAAACAAGTTTTAATACCTGACAACAACAACAGTTATAATCACTGGGAATTCTACCCAAGAATCATAAGCCAGTCAGTGATCAAGTCTCCCTCACTCTGAGCTTAGAGGGGATCTGTGAGAGGGGGGGTTAGTGGATGATATGTTACCTGTCTTGTCATCTGCCAGACACAGTCGATAAACTGAAGGAAGACAGGGGATCTGTCTGCATCTGCATGGTTCTTATCTCCATGGCCAACTCTCTGAAGCAAAGAATGAAATGTCACATGTAGGGTATTTTATTTAGCAGAATTTTATTTTCTAAAAGTATAATTTGGTTAGTATTTTTAATTTCTTCAAAAAGTCTTTTGAAAGTTTGGAAAGTAGAAATCACAACTCTACCAAACAAAAATAACATTCCCACATGCAAAATGCCATATTACTACTTTAATAAATGAGAACCAGATTCTCAAACAGAAGTCAGACAGTTCTTAGAGCCCAGACTTTTGTCCTATCCTAGAGATTTAACTTCCTGTGATAAGATATTCTTTATGAAAGGTCACTGGACAAAGGGCACCTCCTCAGGAGATAGCTACATTAGCATAAATGTTAAGAACTTTCAGAAATACTTGGGTTTGTTTTTCTTCATACAAATGGGTTTTCACCCACACAATTTGAAGATCCCAAAGCAAGGATTCATTCAGAAAGTGGGGTATAAAACTTCTGGGGCAGGCGTCCATGTCATAATCCTAAAATGTTGCTTTGGTTCGCCTTTCCCAGGGTGCAGTACTGGTTGGTATTCATGTGTAAATACATACTGCTATTGGTTGTCAAGCTGGGCAGTGGTGATGGGTCACAGTAGGCTGCATGTATTCTATCCTGCCAGATGCTCACAACTGAAGGAAAAGAATCAAGTTTTCTTAAGACAGTATCATTGGCAAAGCAGAAGAAATTGTTAAGTAAGTCTTTCCTATGAGCAAACAATCTCGTGACAAAATGGAGAAGGCACATGTGTGATTTGCTATTATACTGTGCATCTGAATGGGAGGAAATAACATTTTATTGTTAACTGTGGCTCCCAAAAGACTTGAATATGTGATGGATGTTTTCCAGAAATTTGCAGTTTGTTTTCTTTAATGTAAAATACTATAGACAGTATTTGATGCTAATCATTTGAAGATAAAAGTTTTAGTAAACTTTTGCATATCTACTTTTCTGATAAAACCACATGCATATGCCTGATACAGCAGAATGAAATAATAAATCAGGTGGCTCTGTATAACTATGAGCTAGTGATTTCTGCATAACCAATGCATAATGTTAGAAAAAATTATAGAATATGTAGGAGACCAAAAGATTTTAGGAGGGGAAAAAAAAAACCACGAAAAAATTCTGGATTCTACAACCTTAAGAAATTTATTACTATTTGCTAAGTTTTGACAGATTTCAAAACATCCATAATTTTCCAAAAAGGCTCTTAAAAATTACCTACATAGGATTTTTCTTAATAAACTTCAATAGACTGATTGTAGCATTAGTTATTAGCATGCCTTCTTGAATGGATTGGATGGTCTTTTAAAAATAAAGAAAAGGCCCCTTTAATGTACAAATAGGAAGAGTGGAATGGGTGACCAGGGCAAGCAGTCAAGGAGTTTATGGTTTTGAAACACATGGCACTTTGAAGGGAGAATTTGTTTTAAAGAGTGTTTTCTGTTAAGTACATTGTATAAAGGAAAGTGGGAAAACGTGAGGCACTAAGGGAGGTGCCCCAGGTGCCTAGTTTTGCTTGACAGTTGACATTCAAAAGAGCCAACCAATTTCAAGTGCCAGTTCTTTGAAGTTACTTATAAACACTGCTAGTAAACCCTTCTAAAGATTAATACTAAAGAACATTTATGCAGATACTGACCCACATCCTCAGTGCCTTCTAGGCCTTTAATACTCTGGCTTCTCTCTCAACTAGACTCTTGCCTTGGTCATTACTCATTCTCAACCCAGACATTTGCTCATCCTACTTCTCCTTCCTGGGAAGAGGACCCAGTCTTCACTCTAATTCCAATACAAATGACACAGATGGATAGGGTGACAGAGGTCCACAAGGTTGCTGTTTCCAGATTTCCTGATTCCAATACAGCGTTGAACACAGGCCATTTAACATCCCATTGAAGAAGGCTCTGAGTCCAAAGCATAGCACAGGGATGCAAAGGTGAAGTGTTTTCTCTTTTCAAGGGGACATAATCCCATTTCACTAAAGAACTGAGATAAATTGTGGGTACCACACTTGTAGACAGTTTTAAATAATGCTGGTGGGCAGCTGGGGAGAGAAGACCAAGGATGTTCATCCTGGAAAGGGGGAGCATATGGGTGACGTGGAGGGACAACTATGGTCAAATATCTGAAAAGCAACAATGAATGCTTTTCATTTGTCTCGAAGGGGAGTGTGGCCGGAAGCCTCATTTCATTATCACAAAGGCATTCCAGCAGAGCATCTAAGTGGAATGATGGCCTCAGAAAAGGATATATACTTGTTTCTGGACATGAATTAAAACTAACTTCACAGGCACACCTTAGCTGTTTTAGATACATACTTTGGATTCATGGATAAACAAACTTTTTATTCCAACTCACAACACATTCTCAGAAACTCCTAATTTTGGAGTTCACTATAAAAATAATCAGCCCAGTCCCAGTGGTGCAGACAGATACTCCAGGTGCTCAGGACGCTGAGGCTAGATCACAAATGGAACTGGAAAGCACACTTAGGGCTCAGCCTTAGAAATTTGGCAAGACCCATGTCTCAAAATAAAACATTTGTTTGTTTTTTAAGTGGTAGAGTACTTATCTAGACTGTATATGGCTTTGGGTTTAACCACAAGTTCTAAATAAATAATAAACTTTAAATAATACAGTCAAAATGTTGTCATTTCCATAAGAGAATCTGTACTACTTTCCAAATTTATGGAAAGCATAATTATGGAGGTAGATTTTAGTCTAAAGGTGTTCAATTTTAGTTAAAATTTTAATTTTATTTTTATATGTGTTTGAGTATGTGCATGTGAAGACTGACTCCCAAAGACCAGAAGAATGTTAGCTCCTCTAGCGCTTGGGAGCCACCTGACCTGAGTGCTGGGAAGTGTGCCCAAATCCTGTACAAGAGCAAGTATTCTGAACCACTTGGACCCCAGAATTATTTTAGATCCTGATCTACATTAGCAACATTATATATATATATATATATATATATATATATATATATATATATATATATATATCTGAATTAGTAACTGAACCACTGTCATTTTCATACAAGCCCAAAGGGGAAGCTAGCAGTATTTGGAGGGACGGCACCACGGCCATTAGTAACAGCTGAGTTTCTAGGAAAGGATCACGAAAGGTCAGAAGTCTGACAGATGGCCCACCCTGGGTTCAGAATGCATGACGTTAAGAATATACTGACACTTTACCAAATACAGTGTTCTTGAGACTTCACTCTCCTGGAAAAATGGCCAATTTTCTATCTTGCACAAGATGCTTGCAAAACATTGAAAATGAAGTTGCTGAATGGCTCAGTCAGTAACATATTTACCAAAAAACAGTAAAGTCTGAGTCTGGACCCAACACCTAAATAAAAGTGAGGCATAGTATGCCTGCCTGTCACCCCAGCATAGACAGGCAGACATGGTAGAGCTCTTGGCTTTGCTGTCTAATAGCCTACCCTGAATCTGTGAACTCTGGCTTCAGTGAAGGACCATGTCTCTAAATAAAGGGTAGGCAGTAACTGAGGAAGAAAACAAACAACCACTCTTGGCCTGCACATAAATGTAAATGCCCACATGAGCACACAAAGCCCCCACACACAGTAAAATGAAAGTTCTTTGCTCACCAGTTGAAAGCGATGTCCAAAGCTTAGCCACTCTTTTTCCACGAGGACTTCAAATCCTCGGATGGTTCGATAGTATCCGTCCAACATGAGCATGGCCAGGGAAGTGAGCTGAGCTGTACGATCCCAGCCATCACTGCAGTGCACCACCACAGACGTCTTCCCTGACTCCACCTTGTCAGCAATCCTAAGAGCACCAGCAAGGATGAGCTGGAAACAAGTTACAAAATGACAGTTCAAAAAAACACTTCCTAAAAGAAACTAATACAGTTTGTTACATATAACCACCTCTGTCACAAGAAGCATCCATCAGCAATCAATAAACAGGAGGCAGGTGCCAAGGCTCATGCCTATAATTCCACGAGTCTGAGGTGAACTGCTTGGACTTCAGAATGAGAACTTGCCTCAAAACCAGGCAAATAAATGAAGAATGGCATATTAAGCGGGGTGGAGTTTGAGAACCGCAGAGACTGGAGATGGGTATAATATGGGGAGACTGTTAGAAGTGAAAGACACTACCATCTTGAGCACGGAGAGACAAGATGGAAGAGGAAAACAAGAAGCAGCAGAAGCATGCAGTGCACAGGCTGCAGTCCTGTCAGACTTGGTGTTTAGCTGCTGGCTCCACTGTTCAGCCGGTCCTGCCTGCTGACTTCAGTGCCAAGAGCCAAAGCAGAGAAAGGGGTGGAGGCTTTGAGAAAGAGCAGCAAATTCACACCTTAATGTGTTCCAGCCAGTGCGTAGATTCCAAATTAGACAACCAGTGAGTTTCCTCAATGTTGGGGTACACAATCTCCTTAAGCTTCCGTAATGACTCTCGCATAACATGAATATTGTGAATATCCAGAAAAACGAGTTCTGCATTTTGATAGGCATCTTCACTTTCATAACCTCCTCCCTTTGCCTGCAAATAGCACACATCACAGAAAATCCATTACAAAAGTCCATAAGATTTCTAAAATGTATGAAAGAGGATGAACACTGCAGAAGATAAGGAAAACCCTTGGGAAGCAGGGGGCCAGGACCACTTGGAGTAAACACACACCACCTCACACCATGTCTGCAACGGAGCCTGTTCTAAGCCTATGTGATCAGCATGTTCATTTTGAATCTTCCCAAAGTACTTCAGCATTTTAAAGATAATTTTCCCTAACTCTCTTACTTACAAAAACTTCCCTTCAAACTTATTCAGTAGTCAGATTATCAATCCCATATGCACAGGCCTATACTGGACCACTTCAGCTTGTTTTTCTTTTCACATCATTTCACATTTAAACATAGAAAAGAGCTGGAGAAATGGCTCGGCCATTAAAGGCTAGGCTCACAACCAAAAATAAAAACAGAAAAACTCATTGTAGCCTTATGACTTCCAAGTTCGTGTTCTACTGCTGTGAAAATACTTGGAAGGATTTATTTGGGGATATATACCTCGCAGTCACTTAGACAGGGCTCAGGTTCACAGGCAGGCCCCACATTTTTGGAGTATGGGGTTCATCATGGGGAAAGAGCATGGCAAAGGAAAACCATTCACTCATGTCAGTCAGAGTACAGAGAAGAGTAGTAGGAGGGACAGAGGGCCACCCCTCAATGGTACACCCAAAGTAGTCTGCTTCCTCCAGCTAAGCTCCACCTTCTGTATACTAACCATTCCGAAATCTAAAGTCTGAATCAAAAAGTGAATGGACCCACTGGGCAGGTCAAAGCTTTTATCTCTCTAAATGCCCCCACAGAAACGCTGGCCCTCTTTTCAATCACACTGACAAGATTAGCTTGCACAGTTTACTTATAAGCAGCTAATTCATTTTAAATTTAACACATAAAACAGAATCCCACTGACATAAATTTATAAGAAAATACATGCTTTTCAAAACAAGCTATAGCTGAAAAAGAGAATCTGATTTTCCCAAGTTTAATATTATACCTTATGGTTAAAGAAAATCCTCCGTCTTGTCTAACTCATATATAAAAATCACACTTCTGAGGGTCTTAACAAAACAAATTGGAAGGATAGTGTAACAACTCCACTAATATGATCATGACCATGACACCTTTGAATTCAATTTCAAACTAACTTTAAAAAAATTGGTCAGATTTCTCGTCTATAAAGCATTTATATTCAAGATTGTTACAAAAATCAATGTAGTAATTCATGTTAACAAAGATGACTTCTGAAGAGTGAGAATGGTGTTATGGTTTGAACATGTCACCCATGGGTTTATGTACTGTATACTTGGTCCCTAGCTGCTAGTAAAATTTGGGTGATTGTGAGAAGATGTTTACAATGTGAGGCCTTAGAAGTTGTCTCTCCCAGCATGCCTCAGGGAGTAAGTGGCACATGCTCACAGTGACCCTGCAGCTATTCTACCCCAGGATATAAAAAGTAACTAAACAGGTAAGACTGAGGATAGAGAAATTCTGTTGCAATGAATCTCAGAAGATGGTAGTGGTAACTACTGGCCTTACAAGGCCATCACAGAAACAAGACACAGGCCACCCATGGTGTGGCAGTAGCTACTTCCCAAACCCACTGCAGACAAGGGACAGACCATGAAGGGCTATGAGTACACTACCAGCGTGGATCCGTTCTTATGGTAGAGTGAATTATATCTCCATTAAGTATTTCTTTAAAAGGCAACTAGAGAATAAAACAGGAAAATCATTTAAAACTAACCTCTACTGAGTCCCAAAATATCAAGTATAGGGAAGTGTAGGGCAGACTATCAAGGGCCCCAAAGGCTGACCGCCCTCAGTGAATGGGAGGCAACAGACTGTAATGGATACAGGTGACCTCAGTTAGAAGACCCTCAAGAAAGTCATAGTTCTTAGTTTTGTTTTGGCTGTTTTGCCTTTCTTCTTTAATCTTAGAAGTGTAGCTAACCCAGCCACGGCAGCTAACACTTTTAACCCCAGCACTCACTAGGCAGAGGCAGGCAGATCTCTGCAAGTTCCAAGCTAGTCTTGGCTCCACAGTGAGAGACTACACCAAACTGGGAGGGGCCCTTCCATCCTGAAAGCCACGTGCTAAGAATTAGGGTAGTTCTAAAGGGCCAGCACCATAATCTCTACAAATTCCTACCTGAGCAGCCAGGGCCCCTTTCAGTTCTGAGAATTAAGGATCATTTACTCTGATTATTCGAAGACAAAGCATCTCTTTATAAAGAGAATTCAACCAGTATATTTAAAAGTACTACTTTAACCCAAGTTAATCAAAGTAACTCAGATTCAGCGGTCAGCAGGGGCCCACAGAACAATGGAACCTAAATCTGAATAAACCCTAGGTTTGACTCAGAGATTTGGGAACAAAGTAAAAACAACCCAAGCTGTTATGCAGTCAGGTGACAGGGAAGGAAAAGGTGGACAGGCAAGAGGAGGCCACACACCAAGACTCCTAAGACATTGAATTATTCTGGAAGAGTGGAAAGTGCGGAGTGCAGAGATGGACACTGATAGAAGAACAGCATAAAGATGTGTGGGGAGCGCAGGACACGCAGGGACGCCCGAGGGTCCCGACCACCGCAGCCGCAGCAGTAACTCATCCAGCTGCAGAATGGTTCTTCCTCTGCTGCTGCGCACTTCACACGTGGTGTTCAGGATTTCCAGAGTGAGGTGTGGGGGAGGGAGAGGTGACCACATCAACACTCTGCCCTACCACAGTTGCTGCCTTCTAATCCTTTTCTCCTCCCAGATGACTAAGTCTGACTCTTCCTTTTATTCAAGGCTTAGAATTTAGGGAGGAAAATCAGCACTTGCTAGAAAATACATTTGATTTCCTGGCTACAGGCTTCAGTTATGCATCTCATTCTGTAAAATATTAAGAAGGATAACATAAAGAAGAAAGACAGTTGGTGATGTGTAGTGTGTTAAACAGTGTAATTTAAAGTCATGATAAAGCATGTCTTTGCATGTCTGTGGATGATGCCTGTTTGATGTTCATAGCACAAATGAAAGTGCTTTTGAAAACTGCCTGTGATTTTATGCGTTCAAATTATTAAATACTCACTGAATGAAAGAATTTTTCATTACAAAATCTTTTATGATGAACTTGGTTGTAGTTTTAACTCCAATAAAGGTAATCAGCTTAACTGATAAAAAAAAGATAAAGCAAAATAACCATGCTTTCCAGCTGCGATGACTGAGGATATCATGGCCCTCCCTCCCTCATCTCATCTCATCTGCATAGAATATCTGGGCTTACAGCGCCCTAGTGCCAACTGTGCAGCTGCAGAATGCGGACTGTCCTCCTCCATGGGTAAAGGATGGCCATTCGAGCACCACTCATAATGGGAGGTCAAAAAAAATCTATCGTTTACTGAGATTGTTATAAAGACATTAAGATGACATTAAAGTTTTCATTGACATAAACTGTGTTAGCTTGAAAAATTATTCCATTTCATTTCAAATATTTATGGACAACTCCATAGATCTGGAAGTATGAGCAAAGCTTAATGATGTTCCAAATTCAGGGGTGTTTTAAAGCATTTTCTTCACTTACTTAGCTAACCACATGAACTGAATTTTCCATAGCACGTATGAAATACAGTTCTAGAAAGTCAGCATCATCACCTCAGTGTAGTCTGACCTCTCTCTGCCCCCACAGGGTCTGACCACAGGCTCCAGCACAGACAAGGTGAGCCAGCAACATCAAGAACAAAAACTCACCTTATTGGCAACAGCATTGACACTTGGCCGAGCATCAAATATAAATATTTTGTGTGACTGGGCGTTGGAGTCCATGATGGCCTGAAGGTATTTCTCGTCCTCTCTGCTGCGCTTCCCGCTCACCCCCACCATGGGCTGGCTGCAGCGGGTGACTGTGGCTTGACTCTCAGGATGAATCCAGGATAAAACCTTAATGAAAGGGACATAATGACACTGCTTCCCTGACTGTGAGGCTCCTAGTGAGCAGACAGCTGAGGGGCCCTCAGGATGCCAAGAAAACATGTCACCCTTCTTTAGAGCCAACTCTGCTCTGTACAGAATTGCCTAATTCCTAATCAGATAATGTTGTAAAACTTATTATTGAGAAATCTTGTTTTAGAAAAAAGTACATCAAAACAGAGCTAAACAATCCCTGCCCTGCTTTTTATTATTATATCAGTAAAACTGGAAAGTCCTCAGATTCTACACTTCTGCTCCTAATATTATTTCATCTGCTCTGAGATACAGTCAGTTATACATCATCAATTTGTAAAGTTTCCTACTTTCTTGGGGGAAAAAAGCATTTCTTGTCATGACTAAAGAATATATATATATATATATATATATATATATATATATATATATATATAAAATACAGAATGCACAGGGCAAACTTTTTTTTTAAATTAGGAGCTAGGCAATTCTGTTTTAACTTATAATTTGACTCAGTCTCTGATATTCTCATATAAAGCTATGGCCATTATCATCCTATACTGAAATGTGCCTACAGTCTCATCAAGGCACACGGCCTACTTACTGGGATTCGACCCCGTGACCTGAAAGATGCCACTCTCTTTAGCTCCTCATCAGGAATGTTTGCTGGCACAACCAAGAGGGCAGGATATGTGTCACAAAGTTCATAGCGTTCATTTATCTTTGTTATTCTCCAGCTTTCGTTTGGAATTCCCTACATGACATAAAACACAAGACAAACTGTCAGCTAAAATAGAACACACAACAGGACAGTAGTCAACCTTACCTATCTCCAGTTCTCATCTTAAGACTGCTCAAATGGTCATGGCCAGGCTTTTAGGAAGACACATATTTTAATGGGGAGGGGGGTAAATCTGCATTTGGGACAGGGATCAGATGTAACGTTTAGTAGCCTAATGATTCATTAAATACTACCAGAGGGTATGAGCCTGTGCTATGCATATTTGGGGGAGGGTGAGAACAGAAGGAAGACAGTGTCCTGCTCTACATTGGAGCCATCTCAGGGAGTGATTAAATGACTGGCTTTGCTGCGGTAGAGACACAGGTGCACATCCTCTAGAACTGTCAGGAAATGTTTCTATTTCACTTCCAGTTCTGCAGGACATAATCAATGGCAAAGAATTTAGTTAGCACATTTCATTGTACGACCTGTCAGTCAAACTTTTGCCTTCAAAGAGAGTAATAGAAAGAAACCCATTATTATTATTGGTGGGGAGTGAGCACAGGGAAGGGTAAAGTTAGGGACCACAGCTCACCACAGGCCAGAGGACAGCTGACTTCAGCTGGTTCTCTGCTTCCATCCTGATGTGAATTGGGGGACTAAACTCAGGTCTCCTTGTGTGCTTAACACCATCTCACCAGCTAAGAATAATTCTTTCTTCTAGCTACTTTAGAGGCTTTGTGGGTCTGGTGTTCCAGAGTGACCCTGTGTCTGTGTGAACGTCTTTACAGGCATCACGCTACAGATTGTAGCTTTCATTAGTCTAACTGACTAACTTACCTATTGAAATAAGATTCTGCGAACTCAAATCCTAACTTTCACATTAATAACTATTTGTGCATGAACAGATCACTTAATGTGCCTATGCCCCAATTTACTTGTGCAATGCAGATAATATTTAGTACTTTACATGTGCTTAAGTACCACATGGTTTAGTAAATAAAACCAGTATACAAACATTTGTTAGTTAACACAGAGAGCACACACTGTAAGCAAATTCCTTCCCTAGCCTTCATGCACTCAGTCATCCAACAGTCACTTGTCTATGGTGTGTCAGGTACTGCTACATTCTGGTAACACAGCAGTGAGAAAACTGGCCAGTGCCTTCCCTAGTGGAGCACAAGCAATGACAATACCAGGGAAACAACAGGTGACTGCTCCAAAGCAGAGGAAACAGACCCAGTAAAGAAAAACAGGCAGGACACACAAGGCCTTAATAAATACCCATCAAGTTTAAGTGAATCAAAAATGAGTGGAAAATATCTGAAAAGCTATCAACAGAAATTAAACTTTGATCTACATGTAAAAGGGAGATATGTAGCTCAGTAATAGAGTATTTGCCTAGCACATGTGAGGCCATGAACCAATCCCTATTGCACAGCAAGCATGCAAGCAAATATGAACAGACACCACACACACACACACACACACGCACACACACACACACAGTTAAAATGTATGGGCATTGATCAATCTCTCTCTCTCTCTCTCTCTCTCTCTCTC